ATTTTCGTATCATTGTCTAGTGTCTTTCGTTCACCTCTCTTGATTTCACCATTCGTCTACATACTAATATCCAAAAACAGATTTCTCATTTTTGGTTACTAGTATGTCTTTGGCGTTTGGTTTGTGCCTTGGTTCTTTGTATTATGTTTTTTTTTGTCTTAGTTTTGTTGTTCGTTAATGATTGATAACAGTTGTTAGTGGTTATGTTAGCAGATTTTAACGTCATGTCTTTTTTGGCCGGGTCAACGTTTAGTTGATGTTTAAAACGGCTTCATACGAAGTTCATGTTTAAAATGGCCTAAATTTGAAAGTTGACGATTTAACTAACAGAATAGCTAACGGCTGATAACGGCTGTTAGTGGTTCCGTTATCGAGTTTTAACGTCATGTCTATATTGGCCAGGTCAACGCAGTCTCATGTTTAATACGGCAGTCAACGTTTAGTTGATGTTTAAAATGACTTCCTATGAAGTTCATGTATAAAATGGCCATTTTTTGAAAGTTGGACGATTAAATGACATTTTCCCTATATGTAAACTCTAAAACATGGAGTATTTCTTTGTGATATGATTGATGATTAAAAAAAAGATGATCTCACGTTTGTACTTTTTTTTTTTTTTGTCTAAATCTCACGTTTGTACTATGTCTTAAGTTCTGAGAGGAAAAGTTCATAACTTTGACCACTTTGATTGAATCATTTTCTTGAAAATATTATTAAGTAGAGAGATTGGTACACATATTCATATCATTCAACGTCGTTCTCGTTACAAGAAAGAGAGATAGGTAGAGAAGAAGAGAGTGTGAGAGAGAGGCAAAAGAGATGGCTACGAACCCTGATTTTCTTCGGTGCAAAGAAGAAAGAAATAACGAAAGCTTCTTCAAGGTGCTTCAGAGTGTTGTTGATGTTTCTTCAGAAACCTTGGTAACAATGTTCAAAAACTCTTCTTTTTTTTTTTCTTTAATTTAGGCGATTTCCTGTAATAATTTGGAAAAACTTTTTGTTCTCTGTAACAATGGGTTTTGTCTTAAAGGTTGAATCTTGCTTGCTTAGTTTGGAAAGGTTGAAACTTTTCGTTATGTGACAATGGGCCTTGCCTTAAAGGTTGAATCTTGGTAACTTAGTTTGAAAAGGTTAATTTTGTTGCTTCTCTGTCTGAATGTGAGCTGTGTTTTAAAAGTTGAATCTTTTGGTCAATTGTCTTTATGGGTCTCGAAACCTCACTGCATTTTTTTATATTTAACGAACATGGTTTTGTTGAACCTCTCGGTTCTCTGTCTGAATGTGAGGATCTATATATTCTTTTTCAGTGTTCTTGTTGGTTTGTAATTGAAGATACATTCTAATAATTGTCTCTTCATCTTATTTGCATAACCAAAGCGGGCACTTCCTCATGACTTTGTGAGAAGCTTCACCGACAAAGAGCTCTTCGGTAAGATGAAGATAAGAACGCAATGGGGACGCTCTTGGGAAGTAGGAATCTCCAAAAACCCGAGATTTTACTACATGGAAAAGTCTGGATGGGACAGGTTTGTGAGGGACAACTCCTTGGGAAACAATGAGTTTATTACCTTCACTCACAAAGGAAATATGCACTTTACTTTGAACATCTTTAAGCTAGATGGGAAGGAGATGATGCAACCTCCACAATCCAGAGCCTTGTTGGCTTCTTCAAGTAAGATTTTATTGGGAGAACCGGAGATCGACCGAGATCGACGATCGAGATGATCGCCCAAGATTATGGAAATCATGAAGATCGAGAAGGATCTAGAAGATTATCATAACTTAGTTTAGGAATATTTACATTTATCTTTAAAGTATTATTTATATTTATATTTATCTTAAATTAGGAAACTTAGATTAATCTCATCTCTATATAAGAGAATGCATTTTGTAACTTTATTCGGATGAGAGTCTATTATAATTCTTCCTAAACACTTTTGTATTCTTTACTCTCATCAATTTATCATGGTACCAGAGCCAAGATCCTTTCTGTGGATTTTGGATCCGTTACGTTAGCTTCCGCAAAGAAAAAAAAAAAATCAGTTTCGGGAACAATGATGTTTTCTCGCCCTCGCGAGTTTAACTTCTCCTTTTGATTAAACTACTCGCCCTCGTGAGTTGTTTTTTTTTAGTCTCGCCATCGCGAGCAACATCCGAACCTCGCAATCGCGGGTGTTATTTTTATTACTTGAACCCTACGATCGGGTATAAACGTCGATGACCTAACGGCTGTGTTTTGTAGCCGCTTTGAACCCTACGATCGGGTATAAACGTCGATGACCTAACGGCTGGGTTTTGTAGCCGCTTTGAACCCTACGATCGGGTATAAACGTCGATGAGACCCGACGGCCGGGTATAAAGCCGTTATTCTGAAGACTTGTCTAATCTCAAACGTGTAACCACGTATGAGCTTGCCGGGGGTATTGGGAGAACCGGAGATCGACCGAGATCGACGATCGAGATGATCGCCCAAGATTATGGAAATCTTGAAGATCGAGAAGGATCTAGAAGATTATCATAACTTAGTTTAGGAATATTTACATTTATCTTTAAAGTATTATTTACATTTATATTTATCTTAAATTAGGAAACTTAGATTAATCTCATCTCTATATAAGAGAATGTATTTTGTAACTTTATTCGGATGAGAGTCTATTATAATTCTTCCTAAACACTTTTGTGTTCTTTACTCTCATCAATTTATCAGATTTGCTTTTCTGATTATGAAACAATGAACAGATGATAAAGACATTGATTCTTTACTATTGATGATGAAACAGGTCGTTTCAAAACTGAACAAGGGGAAGATGACAAGAAGGAAGAGGTGGTGTCTGAGTTGAGTGATCGTGGCAGGACAACCGCAGCTGAATCTAATGGAAGGAAGCTCAACCTTAGGAAGAAGGCAGCTGAGGAGTCCCAAGAATCTAAAAGGACCGAGAAATTAGGAGCCTTTTCATTGGTCATTTTGTTTCCACATAGAATATTCAGAATGCACTGTAGAAGACCCTCTCTTCAATAAGTAATCCCCTGAATTTGCATAACTAATGGATAGCTCTACACTGTCGAAGCATAACACCAACTCTGAAATTGAGTGTAGGAACTTAGATCTCCAGCTTGATACAGGAAACTTAGAGAACACTCAAAAGAAATACGATTATTGATAATCGGAACTATGTTCATAAAACATCGAACCGCTTCTCATCTGTTTAAGCTCCGGCGAGGAACTTCAACACGGCTGAGGAAGATCACACCGATTACAACTAGAGAAAATGAAAGTTCTAGAGATTTCTTAATCAAACAAATGAGCACGCAGGCCCGTTATAAAGAGAAAGCAACAAGGAAGAAGATTCCCTGCGTAACAAATTCACACGTGCTTGCAATCACCTCCCTCCACGTGCTATCCCAAGTTGCACAATCTTCCTTCATTAATCCACCTCCACGTGTCCTCTCTGTTTTCCTATATCAAATCTCCCCTGTTTGAAGAACCTTGACCACAAGGTTCAATGTTTGAGAATTGTCACTGCAAAACAAAGAGAACTCCCATGTAGTTTCCTCCATAGATTCATGAGTCCTCACCATTAAAACCATTGCAGCAGCTCTGCTTGAAACATAACTTCTTAGAGTCTCTTTTGCTTCAAGTTTGATTAAAGGGTCAAAGGTTTGGCTCTGTGTTACTGCTAGCATTTTTCCTACGTTGGCCAATTTCATATTCACAAGTTGATCCACACGTTGATACATCTCTTCAACAGTCTTTTCACGTCCAACTGTGTGAATAACCCGTCTCTTGCTGCCGAAGAGCTTCGTCCATTGGTCATTTTGTTTCCACATAGAATATTCAGAATGCACTGTAGAAGACCCTCTCTTCAATAAGTAATCCCCTGAATTTGCATAACTAATGGATAGCTCTACTGCTACAGAATTCACCAGCTTAGTCAAGCAAGGGTATCTCAAATTCCTGGTAAGATAAATACACTCTAAACAAAATCTCTATATTGAGCAATGATTTGTTTTTATAAAAATTATAATGTGAATCAAACTTTTTTTTTTTTGAGTGTGTAGAGGCTCCGAACTTCTGTTGCTAAGGATCATATGCCGGATGAGAAAACAATGTTCAAAATCCATCACCCAAATGGGAAGAAATGTTGGGATGTGGTTTATTTGGGGAGGTTTGGAGTTTTCTCTGGTGGATGGTCACGTTTGGTTAAAGAGTATCCCCTTGTTGTTGGAGATACCTGCAAATTTACATTCATCAAACCAGAGGAGCTACTTCTAGTTGTCTCCAAACCCTAATGATGATGGATGTGAGGGTGTCTTGGAGAAGATATTACTACTGATTAAAACAACTCTGTGTTTATTGATGTTGTCTTAATACTTTAGTTTGGTTTTAAGTTGGCATCTGAACTTTGCTTCCTGTCTGTCTGACGTATCTCTGTAGCTTAATATGTTGGGACCAATTATCAAAATCATTATATGTATGAATGACTCTAAAATCAAATTATCAACCTAATGGTAACTTTTATTGGCATGGGAAGAAACTTTCCAAGGGTTTACGCGGCGGGTAACACAGCTACGTTGCATGACTGCTTTACGCAAGGCGGCGGAGAAAATCTGAAATCCTGTTTGTGGAAGCACATGAGAGCGGTAGAGGCGGATGAAGGTACTGTTGGAACTTGTTTTTGACAAAATGGTTTTGACCATTGTTACGGTGGAGTTTCCGGTGAAGACGTTCATCGGAATGACCGGTTCTTGGGCACGATGGAATCGTTGCTACGAACACTACACGGTAGTGTATTGGAATGTCGAAAACAGAGTTTGTTTGAATGAGAAATGGAGGTCCAAAGTGGCTAGCTTGTAAAGCTTGAAATATTGACTAACGGTCAAATGTCGCACTTTGGAAGTTAAAGGAGAAACCCGAACCGTATCGTATTGTGATATGTTGCATCAAACCGGACCGGTTGGGATTTGGGGTTTGGAATTGGGGAAATAAAAAATGGGCTTACAACCAAAAATATTATTCTTATTTCCCAAATTCACTTTTAATTGTTGTTGTTTAAATAATAATTAAAATGAAAATCTCTCCCTAATTGAATTTGTGTAACAACAAAATCAATAGTTATTGTCTCATTGACGACATTAACGTGATGGCATTAACATGAGAATTTTTTTTTTTTTTTTTTGGTAGGAAGAGGGGAGCCAATGTCTCCCCCAATTTATTAATAAAATGTATAACAACTACATAGGAACATTTCGAGGTTGCGCAAACCCGTTCATGTCCTCCAAAACAATCGAAGAAATTAAAGCCGGACTAGAATCCAAAGCATGAAAACCCAACGGTAAAGAAAACGCATAGTTAGCTAACCCGTCGGCTAGACGGTTAGCCTCCCTATATAAGTAAGCCTTCTTCACCTCATTTTTCATCATCGTGAACAATAATAAAAAATCAATCCTCCTCTTGTCTCTTATTTTCTCTTTTGTGTCTGAGAGTGCAACACAGAATTTTGGTTTGTTTAGCTTCTGTTTTTGAGTGCTGCGAAACAGTTGATGGTGTGGTTGTATCCTGGGATTCTGATTGCGTAACACCGTCACACAACGAGCAATTAAAGAATTAAGGAAAGAGTGTCTCGCCTCCACACAAATCGTTCTTCGTTCGTTAGAGTTTGGTATCGAGTTTGTATTTTTGATTCTGTTTCTTATCATTATTTACAACAATTTTTCAGTTTGCCATATCGTAGAAATCGTGGTCCCATAGGTACTACAATCTTTGAAGTTTTTAAGAGATATACATGTGTCTATCGGAACTGCTAAACAATGGGGGTGTTAACACTATCGGATGAAGAGGAATCCAAGCGGTCGAAACCATGTTTTTCAGCATTCAATGAAACATTTAGGGTTACCTCCTTTCATATTGGATCAATTTTATGATGGAACTCTGAAATTCCATTCTTAAGTTTCGACTCTATCTGCAAGTTTTGTACTAGCATCAAGCCCCTAAAGTATCACAAGCCAAGAAATTGTGTTCCTAACTTCCTACAGTCCAAGTAGGTGGATGTTGTTCTTAATCATTTTAAAGAGAGAATTGGGTTTTCTATGCATAATCATCAATAAAACAACAAATACCACTTACGGAGAAAAAAGTAAAACTTTTTTTGTTGACATAGAAAAGAGATTTACATCATAAGAGCAAAAGAAGAAGGAACAAGAAGAGAGATTAAAAAGGTGTGTTGTATACAGAGATGTGCACAAAGAATCAAAGATTTGGTAAATCCTAAAAAAGAAACCAATAGTGTTGGTTGGTTGGTTGGTTGGCTTGGCTTAGCTGGTTAATGCTTTTTTTTCCTTCTTTTGTCTGTTGCTTCTTCTTCTTCTTTCTCCCATGATTAAAAAAATAACAATAATAATAAAATCAGATACTGAATATTTTCTTTTTGCTTTTGATTCCCTTTTTTTTTTTCCTGTATTGTTAGAGATCAGCCATTTTAAAAGAATTGTAGTTAGGAGGAAACTTGAAGCTGTCACGTTACGGCTTTATTAGCCCTTTCACTTTCAGACGTTTAAAGCCACCAAACTGATTCTCGATCCTCTTCTTCTGCATCTTCACGTCACTTTGTTGCTGAGTTTCTTTCCTGTTTGAAATTACTAACACTTCTTCTTCTTCTTCTTCTTCTTGCCTACTAACACTACTGCTACTACTATATCTTCCTTCGTGATGAAGCGATTTCTTCAGCCTTTTAAGCTCCTAATAAACAAAGAAAATCTCAGGGTTTTATAACATAAGAACACTGTTTAATAGAGAGTTAATATTTATATGTATGTCCCTTTCAGTACCTGATGATGGTCATAATCTCTTGTGTCGAGAACAACTGTTCGGTTCTCAAACTTCAACAAAGAACGGCGTTTGACTCTGAAACACTCGGAATCAGATCCATCACTTTCCTGATCCGCGACTAGTTGTTGTTCATCTTGTACCGCAGGGAAGAACCGAGTTTTTTTGTTACTGCTGCATGCTACTTCTTCTGAGAACTTTGAATCACTACTGCTGCTACAGTTAGCTCGTCTATTTACCTGTTTATAAAAGAAAACAGAACTCAGATGTTAGACGAAAGAGACGGTTAGAGAAAGTTTGTCGCAGGTTTGTGGCAAAAACTTACGTAATCAGAGCATTCATAATCATCAGCAACTGAGGAGATACATGAAGCGTTTGCTTCATAGCTCATGACGGAATTTCCAGATTGCAACTGGTCATGAGATGTCATCTCTACCTCGGTATAGAAATCAAAGTATATAGTGGAATACGGTGAATATCCGTCTTCTTTCGCAGCTGGAAGTGTAATTGATGATGGATACTTATATAAGTCTTCATCAGTTGTAATCAAATCTGAAACTACATCTTCTTTCTCAAACTTCATTGCAGCAGCTTCCAAGTCTTCAATGTTATCTCTCAAGTAAAGAGTACGTGTTGTCCCACATGGAAGGTCAAGCTTTTTAATATCTAGACAATGATACACAGTAGCACCATCAATTAGAAAACAATAATGAAGGAAGTGTATGGATGGAGATAGCAGAGAAAAAGTTTTACCATGACGGAGACAGACGGGATGTGAGTAACACTCGCAGTTGATAAATGCCAAATAGCAATCCCGTTTACACAAACAGCAGACTATGGTTCCATATGTATTCGAAACAAGGCCTGTGCATAATCCTGACTTCATTAGAGACCATCGAGCAAGATGAAGAAAACGAATCAGGTGCACAAATGCAGTCTTGATGCTTCGTTGTCCTAACAATTCTGTAGGTGTAAAATCCAGATTCTCGGATTTGGAACTTGAGTTTAAGAGCATTGCCTCTTTACAAATCAATTCTTCATGAGGAAGCAATGGTACTCTGTTAAGATGAGCATACCGGCAACTGGCTATAGCTCCAAAAGGAAACCAGTCACCCATCGCAAAGTTCACTGCCTCACCACAATTAAAACCTACAAGAATTTTTAACAACACAACCACAATTTCAGTTGAATACGACACCACATCTCTGACCAATAAAATGTAGATTCGGACAAAAATGTTTTACCGTGGCTGAAACCAGCATGATAAGCCCTAGGGAAAGTGACGACGAATTCTCCAGGTTTTTGCACAGCCTTGTACACTGGCACATTATGATCCAACAGAATCTTTGGGGGGAATATAGTTGTCTTCCCTAGAAGCACGTCAAAGGCTCCATCTTCTCCATTAGTTGATAGAATATCATCATTGTACACACACTCTTTAACCACCTTTTCAAATTTTAGAGCTGCGGAACCTGGAATCCCATACCAAGTTTTTGATGCTCCACAATGTTGGTAATTAATGCTGTGTTGGGAAGAAGGTAGGAAAAAAGGAAGATTAAAATACTTCAGATTGCCACTTTTAGTAACCCATATACTCATAAAAATTCGTTTAACCTTGTTACCTGTACAAATAATGGTCCTCAACATGCCAGGCAAACATACTAAACAGCATTCCGATGTAAAGCATGGGTTCAGTGACTCCCTGAAACAATCAAAGCCAAGTTATAAGAGGATAAGCAGAAACGTCTTATGTGATCTTAGACAAATTATAACTGTACTACTTGTCACATACCGGAATGGATGTTTCAAGAAGGCGCAGGATAGACTTTGGCAGCCTTGAAACTTTCTGTAAGTAGAGATAGAGAAGACATATAACTACCAAATTTAAAAACCAAGCATATGATTTCCTTAAGGCTTAACCAAAAAAAAGAAGGAGAAAAGCTGAAGTTGTAGTAAAACAATACATTCAAGTTCCATTTGCTGCTTCCTAGTGGGTCACCTGGTGCAGATGAAAATGCGCTACCATCTACATCACACGCATACTCAACTGTTTCAGTCTTGCCACACGCAATTTCCTTCCAGAATTCTTTCTCCAAGAATGAGTCGGGCAAAGAGCCACCACTGCAATATCTACGTGCAAATACCTTGTTTGCCATTTTCTCATAATCCCGAAATGTATATGTCCTGAGTAGTTTATAAATAATTAAATACAAACTATAAGGTGAAGATGTAGAGCTAAGTTCAGGGTTTAATACAAACCTCCCACTCATGAAAAATGTAACTTTATCATCAGAATCCCACTCGGCGAGTCGAAGGGGTTGTACTCTGGTAGTGAACTTAAAGTTTGATTTCTCTTTCATCAACACAGCGCCTGCGGGAACTGTTGCTGTCAACGGAGATACAATCTTGCAAATACCTGCAAAAGACAGAGGCAGAATAAGAGATTGGATAGAAATACAAAATGAGATTAAATACAGTTAAATGTCCATGATAGGATATAAGTCTACTATATTGCCTACAGCACATTTTCTTTCCATTTTATACATTGGTAAGCTAATGTTTTACACAACACCAATCAATGGCTTCAACTAACATATGAAGCCATGAAAACTAAAAAGCTACTCGTTGCATATTGAGATTTTTGTTTTACCATATTTTGAAGCTTCTGGGAAAATCTTCTGCAAATAAGTCAGA